ACCGATATCGTTGACTGTCTCCGTATGAAAACAGGCGTCCGGCCAGCAGTAGGTCGGGTGAGGGCTCAATACCGGGCACCAGATTTGCTGGACAGAAGGCTATCTGCTCTACCTCGGCGAAAAAGTTGCTGGGATTGCGGTTCAATGTCATCACTCCCACCTCGATCAACGGGTATTTCACTGTTGACCATTGCTAGCAATTAAATACATATTAATTAAAAACACAATTACACAAAAACACAATAAATTGCAACTATTTTTGAGGGTATATTGCAATGTGTGGCCAAACCTTTGTGGCGTCAAACGGGTTAAAGCCAAAAGTGTTGGCCTCGTCTTCGGTGATCACTTGCATCTTCAGTGTCCACGAGGGGTACTGATGGGCGGCGATCGCATCGTACAGATCCCGACGCGCGTAATCCGGATCAGTGCCTATCAATTACGATACAATATAATTATTACATACAGTATAGTTATACAAATGTACTAGGTAACATAAATTATTTAAAATATATTTAGAATTGAATAAATAATTATAAGTAAGTAAGTAATAACTTTTATGATATATATTACAATCATAATACAAAATACTATTCGTGAAGCACATACCACTCAATTTCGCTGCGGTGTCGACGTCCAGATTTTTAATGCCCTGATTAGTGATCCAATGAAACTTCACGTAAAAGTGTTTGTCCTGACTATTGACTAACTTAAAGGCGTGTAGACTGAAGCCGGGCATATGTCGCCAGCCGTCGGGTATACCGTAATCGCTGTGCAAATACGTGATCAAATTCAACGTCTCGGGCCGTAGCGACTGGAAGTCCCAGAGAGCCGTCGGGTCGTTCAGACCTGAGGCCGGGTTTTTCTTATTGGCGTGAATTAGGGACGGAAACTGCGAGGCGTCTCGTATGAAAAACATGGGCACATTTACCCCAACGAGATCCCAATTGCCCTCCTCGGTGTAAAACTTGGTGGCAAACCCCCGGGGGTCGGCAAACACGGTGTCGGCCGACCCGACAGCGCCGCCCACTGTCGAGAAACGGACGGCCACTTCGGTCTGTTTGCCCGCCGCCGAGAACAGCGCCATTCGGGAGTATCGACTCATTGACGGGTTTGTGACACGGAATGTGCCGAAAGCGCCGCTCCCTTTGGCGTGAACTACCCGTTCGGGTATCCGTTCCCTATCGAAGTGCGCCATCTCTTCGATGAACTGGTAGTCCTGGAGTAGTGCCGGCCCGTGAAGGCCCGCTGTCAGCAGATCCGTCTTACGTCCCACCGGACGCCCAAACAGTCCCGTCAGGTGTGTCTCCTATTAGTCCACAAGTTTATGATAGAATTGTTGAATATTGGGACAAAATAATTTTGAGTGTGTTTAAAATAAGTGTATTTAATTTTTATAATAAAATTTCAAGTGTAAAGTTACATACATTTTGTGGTACGTTTCCAGCGGTAGCTTCGGTTGAAATAACCAAAACTACGGCCGATATATAGATGAAAATATTACACATGTTGTAATTTTATCTAGATACTAATAAAAATAATCGTAATAATTTGTTAATCTAAATAATATCTGCGACTTATTTATATAATTTTAGTTATAATCGACCGAAGGACATTAATGTACCAGATCATGTTCATTTGTACCAGATTTTTATGTAACTAGTTATTAATTTCATAATGATAAATTATTATTATTAATTATTGAATAAACAATGAATTGTACCGAAAAACATGTGTTATCATCACTGAAACAATTTTTGAAAATCATACTAATTAGTAGTGCTTATATTTATATTTAAACAAATGTTTTGCCCGGTTAACTCTACATTCATAAGACTTTGGGGGCAAACGAATCATATAATAAGAACCCTTTTAACGAAGTTTTATTTCACATATAAATACATATTTGACTCATAAATAAATATATTTAAATATCTGGCTTTTACTTGAAAAACATGTGTTTTTGGCGAGAAAAACAATATAATC